CTTGATATATAGCCACAAAAGTAAGGAGGCTTTTGTTTAGAGTGCATGCAGAAGAACTCCTTTATACAAATCAACCGGCAGATGACGGACAATGATGAAAATTTGATTCTTTGAAGTCATAATAGTCATTGAAATGTGTGAAATTCTGGTATTCAAAAGAGAAAGGCCAGCAAGACTCGAAATCCTGGGTGGTTGCAAGAAGCTTGCTGGGAGGTTTTTCTGCATTTTGACACCAACTTCCCATTGCTTGTTCCCTGCTTCCTTTGTTTAAAAAAAAGTTTAATTCACACAAGAGAAATGGGGACAGTTGATAACCGAATCATAGTTTTTATTTAGAAAACTAATATTTATAATGGAAATTAGTGTTTGAAAGCTTATCTATATTGGCATATATTTTCTTAATGATTTAAAAAATTCCTCCTCCATTTAAAATCACTCTCTATCCTTCTTTTCTCTACTCTCCTGAAATGGCGAGTCAGCTACCAATGAGTCCAGATTTTAAAATTGGAAGAGATGAAGCTTACTAAGTGTAAACCTGGAATTATGATGTGCATTTTTTTTCAATAGCAGACATGTATTTAAATATCTTTTTGATTGGCTTCTTTCTTAAAATAGCCCTTGATTTCTGAAATTTTATAAATTTGGTGACACTCTGATAAACTATATAAGGATTTTATGCTTAATCTGCTTTTAAATTATTTTAAAGTTTTAAAACTCACTAAATCTGTTTATTAAGAACACTTGTTTGTTAAAATTCTGATCTTTATCAACTTGTGAGTCTTGAGATTACTCAGATTTAAACTTGAAAGGCTTCTTGTATCTTATGTGACAACCTTTTTGTAATTGTAAATATTGGAAATTCATTATTTATAAATCAGCTATTTTACCATTTTACAGTGAAAGAGCTGTGAAAGGTAATATATTCAAAGCATTTTAAAATTTTGTATAAGAAGGATTTGAGAATAAATGCAGATAATTGTGTTATAAACTAGGAGTAAAAATCTGTCATTAATTCTCTATAGTTTAAATCTTTTGCACAAATTTATTTCGCAAAAATTGATTCAGAGAGAGGTCAGTGAGAATTAGAGGGAAAGCCCAGAAGACACAAGTTAGAGTTCAGAATAGTATCTCATACTTCTTTTCAACGATTACATTGTTTTAATAGAATCTTGGAGTGGGAGCTTTAGCCATTGAAATGTCTCTTAAAGGACAGGTTCTTCTGTCCCTCCCCGAAGCTGTGTGGAAGAAATGATAACAATAGAGCGCTGTGATGCATTTTAAGAGTGTGAGAAATCAGTCTGTCTAGACTACGATTGTGCCTACAGAGACCAGGAATTTTAGAGATTCTGTGCCCTTTAGGTGTCAAGTATTTGAGGGATACCAAGCCCTTTTATTCTCTGTTTGGCAGCAGCTCAACTTAGCCGCAGTACCTTACATGTGTACTGCAGGCAAAAACAGGGATTCTGTGTCAGAGTAACTTAGGCTACTCAGAAACTCACTGGCTTCAGTACCGCTTTAAATTAATTGAGAGACAATATTAATAAATGCCATAATTTGAGGAGACACAAAGCACTGATAATTATGAGCTCAGAATATAAAGAGCTTAGAAAAAAAATTTTAGTCTCTTAAAGAGCATTTCTGTCCATAAAATCCATTCTGTGGGGAATGGAGAGATAATACAGTTGATAGGGTGCTTGTCTCACGTGCAGCTAACCCAGGTTCAATCCCTTGCATACCATAATGGTTTCCCCGAGTCCCCACAGGAGGTCCTTGAGCTCAGAGCCAGGAGTAAGCCCCACCAAAAGCATCATTCTGTGGGACTGAGATGATGGCACAGAGCTTGTGGCTTGTGCTTGGACCCCACTGCAGTCCCATGCTTCAAAAGAGCACCCCACACCACCTGCTAGGTGGGACCCTTGTGGTCCACCACAGGTCTGAGGCAGCACCTCATCTTCGGAGCCTGCGTTGAACGTCAGTCCCTGCTGCCTGGGGTTGGAGTAGCCCCGGATCCTGGAGCGCTGCTTAGGAGACTCACCGAATAGTCATTCTGTTTCTTTAGTAGGAATACAGCTTCTGTTTTTCAAAATTTTATGGTTTAAAAACGTTAACATAAGTACATTCACATAAAGAAGTATATAAAGAAAAAGCCTGTTCAGGGGTCATATCTTCTTGAGTGTTCAGAGTTTAATATGTGTCCTTTCCTATATAAGTCTTAAATAGAGATCAGCTTGCTAATTCTAGTTTTCATGAACTTGGTATACATACAGTGGAGGTATTGCGGAATTAGGAAAAGGTGCATCACTCTGTAACACCCATTTACCTCAAGATACAGAATACAGAACAGCAAATTATGAACCAGTTACAAATGCTTGAGTGAATTCATAGAGGAGCTAAACTTTGGAACGTCCCAGATGTTAAATCTGTTCAGCACCTGATGAGGAAATTGCTTTAAAAGTAAAGTCATTAAATGTAATAATATTTGACATTTCTAATCTTTATGAATTGAGCATGATTACTGAAACGTTCATACCTTCAAAAATTAGGTACCAATTGCACTCTTTTTTTAATTCCATAGGCAAAGAACCTTTTTAAAATATGAGAATATTACTTGAAGTACATATTTGTGTAAATATTTATATGGCTCAATATGATAGTTTTCCTCAGATGAGCTGTGACAAAGTAATCACACCTAATTATTTGTGTAGATAGAAAGACATTGTGTTAAGCAGGGGATTAGTTGACTTTAAAATGATTTTTAAGGAATTGTTCTTTTAACCTATGGATTTAGAATTCTTAGAAAGGTTTTCTCTGTACATGTTGCAACATAAGTTTATGTATACTAATTAGTTGTTCCATAGTATTCATTAGAGTGGAACTACAAATTAAACATTGAACATGGGGGACACATTATGAGGAAATTGAAATTTACAAAGTACGTTTTCTGATTTTAACAAGTTCAATATGATTTCACATTAACTTTATAATCATAAGTCTAGAATTAACTTTATAAGTAGATCCATGATTTTAAAACTTTATAAAAATAATGTAGTTAACCCTAATATGATAGGATCTGATTAGATCTATTCAATAGGCTATTTTATCATTGCTAAATAGAAATCAAAACTGAATTACTTTATGTCTGTCACTATACTTTGATAGATGTTTATTTATGGCATCAAAATTGTGTGCATTATTAGTTGAGAAGAGAGTTCAACAGAAAAAGAGTGAAGGAAATTCCCTTAAGTTTTAAGCTCACAATTCTACAAAACTTTTTTTGATTATTTTCAGCCACACCTGGCAGTGCTCTGGGGTGACTTCTGGTCTGCACTCAGGAATCACTCCTGGTGGTGCTCAGGGAACCATATGGGGTGTCAGAGATCTAACCCAGGTCATCTGTGTACACAGTAAATGCCCTACCTGTTGTACTATCACAAAACTTTTTTGGCTTACCAGTGTATAACAGATTTGGGAGTGGTGGGGGGTGGGTAAGGTTAAGTCACACCTTGGTAGTACTCACGGCTTACTCCTGGCTCTCTGCTTAGAATCATAAGTGGTGCCAGATCATACATGCAGGTGAGAGAAAGTACCTTAAAACCTGTACTATGTCTCTGACCCTGTATAGTAGATTAATGTACTATTTTCTGTTCCATTGGTTTCCCTAAAGGGAAGTAATTAAAAGTGCTAATTAGGGGCCAGAGAGATAGTTCAGTGGAGGCTGGAATTCACCACATGATGGATCCCAGCCTTGGAACTTCTGTGCTTGGGAGTTCTGCCAGGAGCAACCCCTAAGCACAGAGCATAGAGTAGGCCAGAACTGACAGATGTGGACCCAAAACAAAACACTGTCACTGTCTCTGGCCTCCTATTGTTCATCAATTTGTTCGAGTGGGCCCAGTAACGTCTCCATTGTGACACTTGCTACTGTGTTTGGCATATCGAATACGTCACAGGTAACTTGCCAGTCTTTGCTGTGCGGGCGAGATACTCTCTGTAGCTTGCCAGGCTATCCGAGAGGGGCAAAGGAATCGAACCTGGATTGGCCAGGTCGGCCAGGTCAGCCACGTGCAAGGCAAACACCCTACCCACTGTGCTATCACTCCAGCCCCAAAACAAACATGCAAATTAAAAGTCACTGTCCTCCCATTGTTCATCGATTTTGCTCAAGCAGGCCCAGTAATGTCTCCTTTGTGACACTTGTTACTGTGTTTGGCATATTGAATACATCATGGGTAGCTTGCCAGACTTTGCCATTTGGGGCGATACTGTTGGTAGCTTGCCGGGCTCCCTGAGAGGGGCGGGAGAATCAAACCTGGATGGACTGCGTGCAAGGCAAACACTGTACCAGCTGTGCTATCGCTCCAGCCCAAATTAAAAGTAATTGCTTTTAATTGTTCACAGAAGTTTAATATCTTATTATGAACACTGACACAGACACTGCTGGTGTTAGGTTTTCTTTCTGTTTTTTTTTTTTTCTTTTTGGGTCATACTCACCATTGCACAGGGTTATTCCTGGCTCATGCACTCAGGAATTACTCCTGGTGGTGCTTGGGGAACCATATGGGATGCTGGAAATCGAACCCGGGTCGGCCACGTGCGAGGCAAATGCCCTATCCACTGTACTATCACTCCAGCCCCAATTTTCTTTCTGTTCAATATTTACTTTTAATATCCCTTTACATTCTTTCCTGCTAACTAGTTAAACCTGCTCATGAAATAAGAGTCTTGACCAGAGAAATTCTTTGTTGGACAAAGAATCAAAGGGATCTAATTTTTTTTTAAATGAATCCTCTTTCACTCCACGCTAACCTCTACAGTTGTGCTATTTCTATATGTTAAAGTAGAAATTTATATATAAAATAGAACACTTAAGTATTCCGGAAAGTTTCAATAAAACCTTTTTTATAAACAAATCTGAACAGAGTTGCATGATATAGGGAGCAGCAAAAATGCATTAGATTATATATGGATTGGTAGAAATTTGTTTTTTTTTTTTTCTATAGGATATCACTACTTTAACTGGTGTTCCAGAAGAGCATATCAAAACTCGAAAAGTCCGGATCTTTGTTCCTGCTCGGAATAACATGCAGTCTGGAGTAAACAATACAAAGAAATGGAAGATGGAGTTTGATACCAGGGAGCGTTGGGAAAATCCTTTGATGGGTTGGGCATCGACGTAAGTATTTTTATTCGATTTGATTGATTTGATCTGAGTATGTTTTCAGCACTTTTTCTATGCAGATTTTTCTTTGAAACATGCCATCTTTAAAATCACAATGACAGTGCTTTGTGAGATCTTTTGTTCAATATGTTCAGTGACAGACATCCCGGCGTTACTCAGCACAGTAGCACTGGGTAGCACTGTCCTCCTGTCGTTCATCGATTTGCTTGAGCTGGCGCTAGTAACATCTCACAACAGATTGTCAGACTTGTTGATACTGTGTTTGGCATATCAAGTACATCACGGTAGCTTGCCAGGCTTTGCCATGCGGGCGAGATACTCTCAGTAGCTTGCTGGGCTCTCTGAGAGGGGCGGAGGAATCCAACCCAGGTCACTGCGTGCAAGGCAAATGCCCTACCCGCTGTGCTTATTGCTCCAGCCCAGTAAACCATAAAATTGTTTTAAGAGTTCTGTTGGGAAAGTGGATAAAGGATCAAACATGGAAACCTCTCAGGGTCTGTATTGCAAACCATAATGTCCAAAAGTAGAGATAGATTATGGGGAATCATGTCTGCCATGGAGGCAGGGGGGAAGGTGGGAAAGGGGTGGTATACCGGGGATATTGGTGGTGGGGAATGTGCACTGGTGGAGGGATGGGTGTTTGATCATTGTGTGATTGTAACCCAAACATGAAAGCTTGTAACTCTCTCAATAAAATTTTTTAAAAAGTAAAAAAAAAATTAATTAAAGAAAAAGAGTTCTGTTGGATAAAACTGACTTGATACTGTTAGCATGTTGTATAAACTCCATGTGTTAATGATATACTATGTGAAAAAGTTAACAATTTAGTGGCAACTTTTAAATTAAAGAAATATATTATTATATTTAACAATATATTATTATTGTTTAAAGGGTAGGAGATTGGATAAGTTTTATTGAATACAGTATTCACAGTATTGTTAATTTTTGTGTTTTGGTGCTTGTTACTGTTTAATAAATTAGCCCCAAATTAATTACTTTGGGGCTATAATGGTAGTCCAGTAGGTAGGGTGCTTGCTTTGCACACTGCCAACTTGGATTTGGTCTCTGGCATCCTTTATGGTTCTCCAGTTGTTGAAATGTTTTGATTATTCCTTTTTATTAGACAAGATTTTAATGTGCTCATCTGTATTCCAGACTCAATTAGTAATGCATTCCCAATAATAAATCATTATTTGTAATGTGTATACACACACACACACACACACACACACACATATATATCATCTCTAGGAAAATCACTTCATATACCTTTGAATAATTTCTGTAACTTTCCCTCCACAATCATTAATCGGGCATATGCCATGGGGAGCTTGCCAGGCTCTTCCGTGCAGGCGGGATACTCTCAGTAGCTTGCCAGGCTCTCTGAGAGGGACGGAGGAATCGAACCCGGCTCGGCCGCGTGCAAGGCAAACGCCCTACCGCTGTGCTATCGCTCCTGCCCTAAACATGAAGAAAGTACAATAAGAAAATATATCATATGGCTAGAGATAGTACACTGTACAAGGTGCTTGCCCTACCAATGACCAACCTGGGTTCTGTCCTCTAGACCTGCCAAGCGTGATCCCTGATCACAGAGCCAGAAGTTGGTTCTGAGCACCGCTTGAGTTAGGCCCAAATACTGGGAAGAAAAGAAAGAAAGGAAATATATTATGACTTTATTTATTTAATTTGAGTAGAACAGAGTCTGTTTGCCATTATTATATTTGAGTCAGGATTATGTTGTTTATTTAATGGCATAAAAAGATTGCACGTATCATGAATCATTTGGCAGATAATTATTCTTCACAAAGGATACTTCATGGCATGGAACAAAAGGCAGTCTGCCAATCAGTATTCACAGTATTGTTAATTTTTGTGTTTTGGTGCTTGTTACTGTTTAATAAATTAGTTTTTAAATTATTGCTTGGACCAGGAATATAGCTACAGGTTCAATTTTCAGCACTGCTGGGCCCAAGCATTGCTTGGTTCTTGGAATATTCCTCCACTCTCACCCTTAATATTGTAGTGAATAAATCTTAAAATCAGTCTTGGACTTCTTTTAGTAGTCTAAATGCTATGAACACAGCCATGTGAGAATACCTCAAGTCATCAAGCTGCTTTCCAACCCTCCTAGTTATTGTCATGATTTCTAAAATAATAGATTAGTTTATGCTCTTTTTATTTATTTTGTTTTTACTTTGGTTTGGAGGCCTTTCCTATGGTGTTTAGGGGACCATACGTGATGTAAGGATGGAATGAGGGTGGACTGCATGTAAGACAAGTGCTTTCGCCCCTCTACTATTTCTCTGATCAATCTGATTTTAATAGCAGCTGATTGAAACCTCAATAGTGAGAGTTCATTAAATAAAGACAAAAAAAAAGCACAAATTATATTTATGTTAAGACTGAGGAGAGAGCATACAATTGGAGAGGGATAGAGAGTATGGAAGATTTTGTGGGAAAGGCTGGTGCTTAGTGTAAACCACAAGAAATGGTTGGAATGGAGCTCTATATACTAAAGTTAGTGATTTATTGCTGTATTTCAAGTGGAAGAAACAAACTCTAAAATGAAGAGAAATATTTTAGAGAATAGAAACATTTTAGAGACTAGGATAGAGAAACAGTGATCTTAATGACTTGGGTTTTTGTCTAAAGGGAATAATTTAAAAGACTAAAATGAGTACAGATCAGATTGTAAAACTGCCTAAATGCTAAGGATAGTTGATTGAAATTTATTTGGTAGACAGTGAAGACTACAATTTTTTGAGTTAGGATGTGACTCCCAGAGTTAAACTTTAAGAGGATTAATCTGGCAACACAATGAAGGATGGTTTGGAGACAAGAAAAATATAATTAGGGTGGTATTAACCATATAGTATAGTACTTAAGAAAGAATTCAAGTGACAGATATTGGTGGTGGCAGCACACCTCAGAGAGAACTGGAAGATACAGGAGATGAAGTAAAAAATGGTAAGAGTAGAAAAGAAGTAATTAAAAGAAGGTTGGCTTATCATAAATGAGATCATTGTTTTATACTTTTGCAGGAACCACAGCTCTGGTCTTCTGCTTCCTAACTTTTCCCCTAGTTTGTTTTCTGTATTGTTTCTTAGTGTCGGTTAATTTTAAGCTAACTCATTAAATTACCTGGATCCAAGTTCCTAAGAATATACTTCTGTTCTTAGGATATATATACTCTGAAGTGGAGAAATCAATTTAAAATTAGTATTAGTTTTTAGTGCTCAATACAACCCGCCATTGTAAAGTTTTTTCACTTAAAGGTGGCATTTATGGTCCTAATATCTGATATACGAATCTCTTACGAATCTGAGAACTACAGTGCCTGACCAGAACTTCATCAGCAACAATTTGTGGGTCTTCCCTCCAGTGCTGTAGCCCATGCATTCTTTTTGTGTATTTCGTACTTATTAAATTATTTCCCTGAATCCTCTTTTCTTTATTTTACTTCCATGTTTCTAAACAGTGTTTAACAAAATGTTATATTCACCAGTTTGGGTTTTGATCCTTCCCTTCAGTATAGTGCCGAGAATCTAACGCTTAGTCTTAGGCTTGGAAGGCAGGTGCTCTACCACTGAGCTACATTCCCAGCCCTTTGATTCTTAATAAATATTGTAACTGGACAGCTGGTAGTGTGCTTGCCTTGCATGCTGCCGAGATGGGTCTTATCCCTGGTACCACATATGATTCAGAGCCTCTCTCCAGTATTGATACCTGAGCACAGAGCCAGGAATAAACCCTGAGCACCACTGGGCGTGGCCCGCAAGCCCTAAATACATACAGAAATATTTCTTGTAAAAAAATGGGGCTGGAGCAATAGCACAGCGGGTAGGGCGTTTGCCTTGCACGCGGCCGACCTGAGTTCAATTCCCAGCATCCCATATGGTCCCCCTGAGCGCCACCAGGAGTGATTCTTGAGTGCAGAGACAGTGCATTGCCGGGTGTGACCCAAAAAGCAAAAAAAAAAAAAAAAGTGCTCTACTTTTTAATAAAGATACTACTAAATGTGACTTTTTTGAAGTTGAATAATTATTTTGCAGTGAGCCTGTGAAACCTGTAAACATTGTCACTATTCTAAAATTAAAGAACTCAGATAGATCTAGGAGTTTTATTTTTTAAGTGGCCATATGCTTATAGGTCATTGTTACTAATGACGGAGAATTTATTAAGAAGCAGTGGATTTTGTTGCCATCTTTTTTATATTCAAATCTTAGTTGGGGAAGAGGGGGAATCTCATACCCAGTGTTGCTCATGGGACATGTAGCTGTATGTGGAACTGTGACCTCCTGCATGCTCTCCAACCCTTAACTCAAAAAGTTAAATAAATGCTTTATTTAAGACCAAAAATTGCCAAGTATTTTGCAGTTACAAATTTTAAAAAATTTGACAGTGCATGTTAAAGATATCTTATAAATATAAAATTTAAAAAGGGTAAGTTTGAGTTTATTTAAATAAGATATTCTCAATAATGTATTTATTTGCAACTGTTAATTTTCTAAAAATTTGAGTAAATTTTAAATTTGACATTTTTTTCCCTTACAGAGCTGACCCCTTGTCCAACATGGTTTTAACCTTCACTACTAAAGATGATGCCATTGCCTTTGCTGAGAAAAATGGTATGTTTGACTCATTCTACTTTGACAAAATCAAGAGACTTAATCAGAACCAGAGCCTTATAAAATTTGAGTTCAAAGAAATAATGGATTGGAGTGGCCACATGATTTGTAAAACAAAACTGCCCTAATTTGAATTAGAAGTCAGGAGTAAAATTTGGCTAAGTCCTACTTTTTGTGAAATCACTAACATTTAATTTTTGAACTCTAACTTAACAGCTTATTCTAGTTTTGATACCTGTTTTTTTTCTTCAAACTACAGTTTTATCTATTATATCTAATAGCTCTTCAATTATTTGAAAGTAGGTATATTCCTTCAAAAATTTTCCTGTCTATTTTTTTTATTATTATGGTGGGCCTAACATATTAGAGTTGAATCTTGCTACCAACAGAAATGCAAAATATTTTTCTAGTGTCAGGCAATACAGTATAACTTTTCAAAAAAGAGGCTTTTCAAAAAAGAATGGAAAAGGTTGTGGACCAACGTAACACATAGAAACAAAATTAAAGAATTAGACAAAATGAGACAGAGGAATATGTTCTCTCCTTGTCCTTTCCCCTCTCCCCTCAAAGCTGCGGGGGGGAACAAGATAGCCCCCCCTACAAAATACCTTAAAGAAACAGGTCAAGGGTCTTTTGGATAGCCTGGTGAATAAAGGACCTATTCTACAAGTGAGAAAGCATGAGTTTAATCCCTGGTGCCACTCACATATATTGAGCATGGCCCCTGTGATGCTGTTGTCTGGGACACGACATCACAACCAACCATTTGTGTTACCCCTGGTCTTTGCAACAACAAAAAAGTTCAAAGTAATGTTTATAATACTGCTTCCCAAACTTGAGAGAAGAGTGAGAACCGTAACTCAGAAATATTAAGAACAAAACAGAATTTAGAGAGCTGAAGGTTACAGTAAGAGCTAAAAGATTCATGCCAAGAGTTCAACAGCAGATTGGAGGCAGCATACGAGGAGTTGTTTGTGAGCTGGAAGATAACAAAGTAAAATGAAAAAGGGAATTTTAAGAAGTGATGGAACCCTTGGAACAAATTCCAGAGGAACAATATGTGCTTTATAGAGTCTTCAGGAGAGGAAAGATCAGAAAACTTAAAGAGATGATACCCCAAATTTGCTAATCTGTAGAAGGAAATTGACGCCCGTTTCCAGAAAACCTAGAGAAATACAAACATGAGCCCAAGAGATGAAAAGCCAATACATTCTAATTTAAAGCGTAAAACTTAAATATACAGAGAATATCAAAAGATGACACAGTGAGCTAAGCACTTACCTTGCAAGTGTGATTCAGTGAATTCAATTTCCAATAGCTACCACATGTCCTGAATCCCAGCAGCTGTGGGTTGTGCGTGCGTGCGTTCGTGCGTGTGTGTGTGTGTGTGTGTGTGTGTGTGTGTGTGTGTGTGTGTATGCGCGCACGCTCTGCTTTGCGAACGCTGGTGTCACAAACACGAGTCTGGCTGCATGGCCAGTCAACGGAAGTGTCTTTGAGAGCATGTGTGTGAGTGAACATCACAGTAACCTCTGGCAAGCACTATAGCCAGATTTTGTGAACAGTACAACTAAAGGATTGTATCCCTAGTGCCCAGTATACCAGTATTACACCCAAGTGTGTATGCAACTCCTAGCCATTACAACAGGAAGGGAAGGGGGAAATTAAGTAAAATCAGCCAGAGGCAGTCAACATATTACATATAAGGAGAAACACCAGAAGGTTATTACCAGGATTTTCAGCATAGTTTGCATGCCAGAAGACAGTGACATGACATAGTCAAAAGTGCTGAAAAGGAAAAATAGGATCCTCTGCTTGGCAGAGTTATCAGTTGAAGGGGAGACTAGATCAGCAAAAGCTAAAGGAGTTTCTACTGCTAAATTCACCTTGTAAGAAATGTTTAGGGACTGGAGAGATAGTACAGTAGGTAGGGCAGTTGCTTTTCACACAGCAGACTGGGTTTGATCCTTGGCACCCCATATAAATTCCCAAACCCTCCGAGAATGATCCATAACAAAGTGAACTTCTCAGTACACTGAAAGCATAATATCTCATAATAAACTGTGATTTATTATGGCAATGTAGCAATGTATAGATGGTTAACATCCACAGATCTACCAATATGCTAAAGGTAAGGTAAAGGTAAAGGCCCTCCCATTGTTCATCGATTTGCTCAAGCGGGCCCAGTAACGTCTCCATCGTGAGACTTGTTGTTACTGTGTTTGGCATATCGAATACGTCACAGGTAGCTTGCCAGGCTTTGCCGTGCGGGTGAGATACTCTCGGTAGCTTGCCGGGCTCTCCAAGAGGAGCAGAGGAATCGAACTTGGGTCGGTCATGTTGGCTGCGTGCAAGGCAAACGTCCTACCCGCTGTGCAATCGGTAATAATGCAAAAAGCCTTTGACTAAATTTAGCATCCTTTATTGATAAGAACTCTTAAACTGTGTATTGTGGAAACATACCTGAACAATAGCCATATATGACAAACCCAAGTGACAGAGAATTGATGAAAGCTCTGCTACTTGGATCAGTAAGAGACAGGATGTCCATTTTCCCCCACTTTCATTCAACACAGTATTAGTTCTAGCCACAGTAATTAGAGAAGGAAAAGGAAAAACTTCCAAATTGAAAGGCCCCCAAACAAAAATAAATAACTTTTCACTAGTAGCAGATTCTGTGCTACCACATATACATGAATTCCTAAAGAAATTGCTAAAGTAATAACCAGTGGAATTGCCATATCCAGAATCAAAATACAGAAATCTGTGTATTTATATACATAAATATAAACTACCAGAAAAAAGTATTCAGAACACATTTGTATACAAAAAATATACCCAGAAATTTTCAGATTTAGTTGTGTTCTAGAAAAGTTGGCAGTATGGGTCATCAGGATCTTTGTGAAATAAATAGTATGGAGAAAGAGTAATATGATTTGTGTGGTGAATATAATAAAAGGAAACAAATTTTAAATGCCTTCTAATTTCAGACTCAGATAATAAATACCATCATAGGAGAGCTAGTCACTATGCTAAGTGTTTTTCATACATTTATTTAATCCTTAGTGCATCTCTGAAATAGAACAGAGATTTTTCTCACTTTATATTTAAGAAAAATAAATTTTTGAGACATTAAGTAAAATTAAAAAGGTTACCTACCTGTTAGTGGGTATGTTTTTACTTAAAAATACTCATGCTCATTTATTTATGCATTATTTATGACTTTTCAGCTATGGTGCAGTTTCAATATTTGTAATTGCTGTTGTAAGAGAAACATGGCAACTGAAGTCTAAAAATAAATTCAGTTTTGCCATTTACAAAAATATTTTAAGAGATTCTATTCGAAATTGTTATATATGATATATCTAATAATATTGGGCCTTAATATTGAGGCCCTTTCTCTCTAAGGGCAAACTTGTTCTGTGCTGTATTTCCACCTGATGATGGGTAAAAGAAAGCACTTCGGAATGCAAACTGGTACCAGAAGGTCCTAGAACCTCTGGCCCGCTGAGCACTGGAGGCATCTCCCCCACCTCCACCCGTACTCCCCCCTCCATATGAAACAAGTATTGGCTGGAAACTTGCCAATAAAGTGCATTACTGCTACAAGGAATTTAGCATCATACTCTCAGCCATTCTGCAAAATTCTCCAAAAGACCTGTAGAGAAATTTTGTATTCCAGTGTTCCACTGGAAAATGCTTTTTGCTTTTGGACCAAAGTTGGCAGTGCTTAGGGGTTTGTGCTCAATGCTCAGTTTTGCTCCTGGGACTGTGGTGCCTGGGAAAGACTCAGGGCCTCTTGCACGCTCCAGCTATTTCTCCAATCCCAACGCCAAATTTGTTGTGTCGCCCCATCCCCTCATATTTAACGGGCCGAGCCGGGTTCGATTCCTCTGCCCCTCTTGGAGAGCCTGGCAAGCTACTGAAAGTAACTTGCTTGCATGGCAAAGCCTGGCAAGCTCCCTGTGACATAATCAATATGCCAAACACAGTAACAACAAGTCTCACAATGAAGACATTACTGTGCCCGCTCGAAAAAAATCAATGAACAATGGGAGGACAGTGCTAATATTGAGGCCCATTCTTTAGCTTTCCTAGGATTTTTATTAATTCAAAACACCATTTATCCTAATGATTTGAAGGATCTGTGCTTAATAGGTATTAAGTATACCAAAGTTCTTATTTTTTCTTACTACGTAATCTGTTTGCTCCAGCTCTGCTTTCTGTCTTTGTCCCCAAACCTGCTCTGTACTTCTCCATTCATATTCATTTTGTTTATTTGTCGTCCTTATCCTTGCGTATGAGAGTCTCCGTAAAAATCTGGAGCCACACACATATATACAGTACTTGAAAATGTGTTTATTTTAAATTGAGGTATGATGTAAGCATAAAATAAATATTTACTGGGTTTCAGTGACATATTTTTTAAAGTATATGCAGTGTCTTTATATTTATTACATATGGGAATATTTTAGAAATATCTGGCTGTGAAAATGATAAAAATTAATGTGTTTTCAGTTTTCTGCAACTACTAAAAAGTTAAAAAATTTTGCTATCATTGCTTTTATTGGGCTGAACTAATCTAGAATATATAACAATATGCAAGATATTCTATATTTTAATATTTCATACTGTGTAATAGGTATAATAAATAAGACCATATCCAACTTTGCAAAATTCACCTTATTTTTACTTTGAGTTATATTTTTGGCTTTTAGGCAATAAATCAAGGGTAAGTGGAAACTTTTATGTGTATACAATGAAACAAATAGCTAAGGTAAAGGTAAAGGTAAAGGCCCTCCCGTTGATCGTCGATTTGCTCGAGCGGGCCCAGTAACGTCTCCATTGGAGACTTTGTTGTTACTGTGTCTGGCATATTCAATACTCTCGGTAGCTTGCCGGGCTCTCGTATTAATTTGTATTACATGACAAAATATTCTGTTAATCACCTATTTAAAAAATCTAAGTATATATATATATTTTTAGTTGGGCTGGAGCGA